TTTCTTTCAAAATCTATTGTTTGGCAAAAACTTGCGGATCTGTTCTCCTCAGACTTTCCTTTAAAGTGTATTTCAGAAGTAAAACAATATAATAAGTTTATAAACTGAACATTGATTATTTTCATCCTAATAACACTGCTTGAGGTACTATCAGTATCTCTGGCAAGAGTCAAGAACAAAGGAATAAAGAAAATAACATCCATATTCATAACAGCATTATTCACGATAGCCAAAAGGCTGAAACGACCCTAGTGTCCATTGACAGATGAATGGATAAACTAAATGTGGTAAATACATACAATGGCCTATTTTTCAGCCTTAAAAAGTAAGGAAATTCTGACACGTGCTACAACATGGATGAACCTCTAGGACATGATGCTGAGTGAAATAAGCCAGTCTCAAAAAGACAAATACTGTTTGACACTCCACTTATATGTGGTACTTAGGGTAGTCAAAATCACAGGGACAGAAAGTAGAAGGGTGGTTGCCAGGGGCAGGGGTGGGGGGAATGGGGAGTTGTTTAATCCTGGGTACTGGGTTTCAGTTTTTCAGGATGAAAAGAGTTCTACTCCTAGAAGAGAACATAGGCAAAACGTTCTCTGACATAAATCGTACCAATGTTTTCTTAGGTCAGTCTCCCAAGGCAATAGCAATAAAAACAAAAATAAATGGGACCTAATCAAACTTACAACCTTTTGCACGGCAAAGGAAACCATAAAAAAAATGAAAAAACAACCTACAGAATGGGAGAAAATATTTGCAAATGATGTGACAGACGAGGGCTTCATCTCCAAAATATATAAACAGTTCATGCAACTCAACAACAAAAAAACAAACAACCAAATCGAAAAATGGGCAGAAGACCTAAACAGACATTTCTCCAAAGAAGACATACAGATGGCCAGTAGACACATGAAAAGATGCTCAACATCACTAATTATTAGAGAAATGCACATCAAAACTATAATGAGGTACCACGTCACACCAGTCAGAATGGCCATCATTAAAAAGTCTACAAATAACAAACACTAGAGAGGGTGTGGAGAAAAGGGAACCCTCCTACACTGTTGGTGGGAATGTAAATTGGTGCAGCCACTATGGAAAACAGTGTGGAGGTTCCTCAGAAAACTAAAAATAGAGTTACCATATGATCCAGCAATCCCACTGGATTGTTCCCCTATGTTCGTAGCAGTGCTATTCACAATAGCCAAAATATGGGAACACCTAAATGTCCATTGACAGATGAATGGATAAAGAGGTGGTACATATATGCAGTGGAATACTACTCAGCCATAAAAAAGAATGAAATAATGCCATTTGCAGCAACATGGATGCAACTAGAGATTATCATACTAAGTTAAGTCAGAAAGAGAAAGACAAATACCATATGATATCACTTATAAGTGGAATCTAAAATATGGCACAAATGAACCTATCTATGAAACAGAAACAGACTCATAGACATCGAGAACAGACTTATGGTTGTCAAGGGGGAGGAGTTTGGGGGAGGGAAGGACCGGGAATTTGGGATTAGCAGATATAAACTATTATATATAAGATGGATAAACAACAATAGTACAGGGAACTCTATTCAATATCCTGTGATAAACCATAATGGAAAAGAATATTAAAAAAGAATGTCTAAAAAAAAGATGAAAAGAGTTCTAGACATTGTTTGCACAACGATGTGAATGTATTTAACACCACTGAACTGTACGCTTAAAATGGTTAAGATGGAAATTTTATGTGTATTTTACCACATTTAAAAAAAATTTTAAAGCAGGAATATTTAGTTCATTTAAATTGTATGTTCAGGGCTTCCCTGGTGGCGCAGTGGTTGGGAGTCCGCCTGCTGATGCAGGGGACACGGGTTCGTGCCCCGGTCCGGGAAGATCCCACATGTCGCGGAGCGGGTGGGCCCGTGAGCCATGGCCGCTGAGCCTGCGCGTCCGGAGCCTGTGCTCTGCAACGGGAGAGGCCACAGCAGTGAGAGGCCTGCGTACCGAAAAAAAAAAAAAAATTGTATGTTCATACCCAAGGTTGACAAGAAAAACTCCCCTTCGTCTTCCTCACACCCCAGTCCCTGGGGTTTGCTCTGGATACAGGGAGAGCAAACCTTATCAACTGCCTTTCTTCTTAATCCAGCCTGGTAGGAAGACAGAGCTGAGCCTCAGAATATAAACTAGAAATGAAAAACAACTGAGAAATCTTCTAATTTTCCGCGTCTTTTAGTGAGGACGCCCAGAGTGAGGGGTCTCGGCTTGTGGGAAGGGGAAACAGCAGGACACCGTTGTGGGCAAGAGGACCCAGGGCAGGCCGGGCAGTGGAGGAGGGGCGGTGCAAGTAAAACTTCCCTGCGAGGTCATATAGAAGGAAGAGGACATTCTTTTCCAATCATGCTGCTGTAGGAAAATATTCTTCTTCCTTGATGAGGCTCCCCAGTGTACTGTCTCTGAGCTTTGTTTATCATGCGAGCTGTGGGCTTCCGTCCAAGAGTCACCCTCAGGGGCAGGAAGATTATAGGCAACAGGAGGAGCTGTGACCTCACCTTGCCCTGGGTGGGGGGCCAGTGCCTACCCCATGCTCCTCTGTTGGAGCTCCTTGGTGATATGATTCTAAACTGGACTCATACTTGGGGAAAGGGATTCCTGTGGACTATCACGCTCCACTGTGCTGTTCAGGGTGGAGGAAGAGATACCAGGGCGAGATCAGCCTGTGTATGCTTCCCTACACAGCCTAGGGAATTGACAAGGTGGTTAAATCTGAGAAAAAAGTGAGGCGAAAGCTGGTTATCCCATGAGAGAACTCTTATAAGTCATTTACCATTTTCCCCACTTTGATTCTGGGAATAATATTTAGCATCTGGTTTTAAAAACCCTCTTCTACTGTGGAAAGAAATACCAACCGATTGAGATCAAGCAAAAGGTGTTTATTCAGGGCTTGCTATAGCAAGAGTCAGCCAACATCACTTAGGTTTTGGCAGACACCCAAAGGCAGGCAGAGGAGTGGGAAAGCTTTGTACTGGACGAAGAGGAACCCTGCAGGTGTGCTCTGATTGGAGGCTGTTGACATGGGAAGCTGAAGGCAGGCTAACCAGAAGCATGGCGTCCTATGTGATAGGTCAGGGGAGCATATTTGCTTTCTCCAGTTGATCCCAAGTTGGAAGCTGCAACAAAAATTAGGGAGGCTATCAGATATTAATAAAGTCCTGGCCATTTGGGACCGATTGTTACAGGAGTTATTGTTTCACTTCCTGGACTAGTTGTTAGAGATAGAAGTCTGACTTGCAGATAGTAGGTTGGCTTCCTGAGCTGGTTGCTCCAGACTGTGGGTCAGAGTTCTGTTTTATATATGGTCTGGCCATTGTCCATTTGTATATTCAGTCTCTCACTACCAGACTGTAAAGAAAAATATGTTGCCTGCTATTCCAGTTCTACAAGGATAAAGCCATTAGCCACTGGAGTTGCCCACTGACAGTGCACCTGAGGGGAATTCACTGTGAACTTCCCTCCAACTGCTTTTGCTGCATCCCATAGATTTTGTATGGTTGTGTTTTCACTGTCATTTGTCTCAAGGTATTTTTTAATTATCTTTTTGATTTCCTCAATGACCCATTTTTTTTTTAGTAGCATGTTGTTTAGTCTCCATGTAATAGTTTTTTTCTCATTTCTTTTTCTGTGGTTGATTTCTTGTTTCATGTTGTTGTGGTCAGAGAAGATGCTTGAAATAATTTCCATACTCTTAAATTTGTTGAGGTTTGTTTTGTGGTCAATCCTAGAGAATGTTTCATGTGCACTTGAAAAGAATGTGTATTCTGGTTTTTCTGGATGTAATGTTCTGAAAATATCAATTAAGTCTAACTGTTCTATTGTATCATTTAGGATCTGTTGCCTTGTTGATTTTCTGTATAGAGGATCTGTCCATTGATGTGAGTGGGGTATTAAAGTCTCCTACTATTATTGTATTCCTGAGAGGAATTCAGGATGGAGAAAAACAGGAAGCATTCTGCATTCTGTGCTGGCCCCTAGATAGTTAAGATGCATCTCTAAGGACAAATTTCAAATGACCCTAGATTATTGCATATTCCTATATATAGAAAATCACTAACATCATTAACTTGAGATGTCTGTTCTTTGTGATTTGCAGTAGTCTTTTGATGTTCAACTACATGTTTTTTTCCAGCCCAAAGAAATTCATATACGTCCTGGTTCCTCCCTTACTTCTTCAGAGCAGTTCCTCAGAGCTACCTGCGAGGCTGTCTCTGAGGCTATAGTCCTCCGTAAGGTCCCCAAATAAAACTTGACTCACAACTTTTATGCTGTGCGTCCTTATTTCAGTCAACAAAAGCTTGAGGTGTTTCAGCCCAAAAGTCTAGTGGTGGTGGAGCTGTAGGAGTGAAGCTTTCTTTGCTCCTTCCTCCACTCAGGCCAGTGTAGTCATAGAAATATCAGATCAAGGTGGGGACAGTGGTCCAGAAGTTCCAGGCTTTGCCACTAACCAAAGCTGAAAGTTTTGGGGACAATAAGGGAGCCTCTGCTGCAGTGTGGACAGACTCAGGAGTCTCCGTGAGAACAACTCTTCCCCAACAAGTGGAAGGTCACCTTGACAGCCAAAGGACGCACTCCCGTTATATTGTCTGTATAAGTGGAGGGAGTTCCCAGAGAGGGAAACCCTTTTATAAAATCCCTAATACCCCTGACTTTTAATTTCAGCAATAGCGTATGACACTGAAAGTTATTGAAATTGTCAACATTGGCTTGTGTCCAATTTGTAAACAGCTCCTCGGCTGCCCCTTCCCTACCATCACCTGGCCCCCATCACTAACTGTAGAAATCTTTAGAATTTTCTCTAGGATTCATTCTCCCTTACCTGACCCCCGTAATATTTGCTTCATAATTCTCTTATGGCTTCTAGCTTGCTGTATAGTTTATGCTATTCATATTTACTTCTTTTAACCTTCGCCAGACTATAAACTCTTTTTTTTTTTTTTTCACCTGCAGTGTTAGTACAGACACTGAAAAACGCTCACTGATCAATGTCCCTGTGATGGATGACACATTCATTGACCAAATACGAATTGAGAAGCTTCTCGGAGCCAAATCAGAAGATAGGCACTAGAGGGTACAGAGACAACACAGTCACTGCCCCTGGCCTCAGGGTGAGAGCAAAGCAGCCACATAATTGCCATACGATGTGGTAAGTGCTAAGTAATGGCGTGGAAGTAAGTACGAAGTGCTTTGGGAACACAAGTAAGGAAGTGACTTGCTTTGATGAGCAAATCAGGGGAGGCTTCACGGAAGAGGTAACATTTGAAGGCTGAGTGGAGGTTTTCCTTGCAGAGAAGGAGAGAGCATCCAGGTAGAGGGAACTGTGATAGAAAGAGGAGCTCAGGTGATGGCATCCAGGGAAGGGCAGGTGGGGCTGGAGTTCTGGTGGAGATGTAGCTGCCGGAGTTCATAGGGGCTAGATTGTGAAGAGCCTTGAATGCCATTTTTATAAGTCATTTGGATTTAATTCTACTGGCAATATAGAGTCCATCCAGGCTGCTAAACAGAGGGATGGCAAACATCTGTGTTTTGTTATGATAATTTTGGCACCCATGTGGCAGATGGATGGGGGCATCCAGTTAAGAGGCTGCCGATGATAGGGACCTGAACTAGAGCAAGAAATAACTGAAATTCCCTTCTGCTCCTCTGGGGCAAACTGTTCTCCTTGGTAGTTTTCAGGCAATCAACTTGCCCAAAGGCAAAATCCAAGGCTCAGTGTTTCACCTACTGCGTGATTTTTGCTTTCTCCCACTCTGTGTGTTTTCTTTTCACTTTCTTGATGATGCCCTTTGAAGCACAAAAGTTCTTAATTTTTTTTTTTTTTTGCGGTACGTGGACCTCTCACTGTTGTGGCCTCTTCCGTTGCGGAGCACAGGCTCCGGACGCGCAGGCTTAGCGGCCATGGCTCACGGGCCCAGCCACTCCGCGGCATGTGGGATCTTCCCGGACCGGGGCACGAACCCGTGTCCCCTGCATCGGCAGGCGGACTCTCAACCACTGCGCCACCAGGTAAGCCCAAAAGTTCTTAATTTTGATAAAGTTCAGTTTATCTACTTTTTTTCTTTTTCACTTGTGCTTTCAATGTCACATTTTAGTAGGCTTTGTCTAACCCAAGGTAATGAAGACACTCCCCTATATTTCTAAGAATTTTATAGTGTTAACCCTCATTTTTAGGTCTATGACCATTTTGAGGTAATTTTTGTATACGATATGAGAAGAGTCCAACTACACTCTTTTGCATGTCGATACATAGTTGTCCCAGCACCATTTGTTGAAAAGCCTGTTCTTTCCCCCCTGAATTACCTTTGTTGAAAATCAATTGACTATAAACACAAGGGTTTGCTTCTAGACTCTCAATTCATTGATCTGTACGTTTTTCTTTATGCCAGGACCACATTGTCTTGCTGCTTTGTAATAAGTTCTGAAATCAGAAAGTGTGAATCTCCCAATTGTGTTCTTTTCAAATTTATTTGGCTACTCGCACCAGCATCTCAGAAGTCCCATCAGACAGCTTCTTTTGGTTGTTGTTGGTAATTACCGGAGATTAGCCACAGGAATTTGTTATTTGTGAACACCATAGGTTATATCTAACTCAGACACATCTGCTATCAGATGGGAGGGAAACGTTGGCAAAGAAAAAAGAAAAAATTGGAACTTTTTTTATGACTTGAAAAATAAAGAACTCTAATTGTATAGCAGTTGTATAAATGTATCTAAACATGTGTCTTGGGAATGCAGATGGAATAAGAATGATTGCTTCTGGCTTGTCCTTAGCTTCATGACATCCTAAGAAATTGAAAGGGTTCTAAGTACAAGACTATTCCTCCATTCTCTAGTAAAAGAAATAGGGAAGTTCTACAGAAGAACATACAAATACAAATGAGCAATGTCAAGATTTGAGGGAAAGCTTTGTGACCCAACAGCAAGGTGTCAATAAATCTGAAAGCTGAACCCCTAGCTCAACTTACAGATGGACTGAACAAGTATGGAAAAATAGCATATCATAAAGTAGAAGTTCAGCTCTATATCCCTCTATAATTACCTAGCTTTCCTGAGAGTTTGATAAGATTTTCTCATTGTATGGGTATGTAATGGTTAATTTTCTGTTGTCTTGGAGGGTGCTTTGGAATGAGATTAATATTTAAATCTGGACTGCCCATCATAATGTGGGTAGGCCTCATCCAATCAGTTGAAGACCTGAATAGACCAAAAGACTGGCCTCCCTGAGCAAGAGGGAGTTTGCCAGCAGACTGTCTGCCGACTTCGTCTGTACCATCAGCTCTCCTGGGTTTCCAGCCCGCTGCCCCACACTGCAGATTGGTACTTGCAGCTTCCATAATTGTGTGAGCCAGTTCCATATAATAAATCTCCGTATAGGTCCACATCCTATTGGCTCTGTTTCTCTGGAGAACTCTGACAAATCTAGGGCATAAATAATTTCTAAACAAATAGATTGGTGTGTCTTTGCCTATCTCCAAGAAACCTTATAAATTATAAAGCCCTTTAAAAGTAAATGAGCTTCTATTTTGATTGACTTAGGAAGCTAATCCTCTTTCATATAAATAGAATTCAAGAAAAGAAAGATTTAATTCCATACACTTTGAATCTACCGGTTTGACAATTTTGATTTGAAAACAATAATAAGTTTTCTCTGTTTTTAACAGGGTAAAAAATCATGTTAGCTAATATTCTAACTTTTGCAAGACCTGGATTTGTTTACTCATAGAAATCCATATTAATCTGGACTCCCTAAATCTTTTACTAGTCTTGTTCTTCAGATAAGCTTACATTAGTAATTATTTAATAACATAAAAGCGTAAGAAATTTGTATGTCCAACTACACTGAGTTATAATTATATCTTTTAAAAGTATTTGCTCTTAAGAATTTCAAAAAATGTTAAAAACTAGTTACTCTATTTCCACTGTCTACATAAATTTCATAATATCATCTGTCTGACAATCTTTTTGATATCAGCAGTGACTGTATTATTTTATAGCATCAACATGCAGAATGAATGAATGTGGCATGTGAGCTGGTGGTACACAAGCAGACATCCTTGTAGAGCTGTGGTCTGCTGCTAGGTGCCTGAGTATGGCAGACAGTGCTCCTTTGCTTCCTTTCCAGTTTTCTCTGTGCCTGAGAGGGAACAGAAGTTAGTTTCTTTGGTTAAAAGTGGTAATTAAATGAGTATTCAAATAGTAGTTGCAAAGACATACAAATATGTAAGGTAATTGTTTTGTTGGGTTTTCAAGGAAATTGCTGTAGTTTTATTAAGATGGTAAGTTTAATGTGATATATATGTCTTATAAAACTATAAATTTATCATTTAATTATATGTGCATGTGTGTATTGTGTGTGTGTGTATATATATATATATATGGCATGTGAATTAGTAAAAGAGTTTGTTAATGACAGTTCAGAAAAAGAATGATCTTTGGATACCTTTTTTTTGTTTTTTGTCATACTTTTGAATCATTTTTAAACAAAAGTTCTTTACTTCTAACTTAGGATTCCTAGTAGTTATTGTTACTTTAAAAATTTTATTTTAAATTGTCCGTCTTACAAAGATTGTAACAATTTTCTTATCTTTAGACACCCATTGCTTATGCTCTGATCTTTATGTATGTTCACGTCTCACCTGTGATAACTCTTTTATTTTGCATTTCCCATATTCAAGCCCTCAATTCAAACTAGCAAATTTGTTAAGAACTTCTTGCAATCTAGACCCTCCTCAGAAGGGCACTGGGCAGCACTGTTCGTCTCCTAGAGATCATTAGCATGTTGGGTTTTTCCATATTGCTTTTAGCTCAGTCATTACAAAAGCAAACTAAAACAGATGTTCCCTTGGGAGCCAAATGTTAAATAGGCCTTTTTCTTTCCTACTCGGACATTAGAGCAACGCCTGACTTTGGGCAGCCTGACTATACTGAATCCTTCATAATTGCTCGTACAGAAAAGGCAAGTTGTGCTTTAAAAGTGCTTATGCAAAAGCTAAAATCTCATCGCAAGCCTGTGGTAGGTTTAGCTACCTTGTTTATTGCTGTGGTGTTGTGGCAGAAACAACGAAGCTAGTTGGTGCCTCAGCGGGAATTATTCTACTCCCCTTCTCACTCACTGCCTTCATAAGATTTGCTGTTCAAACCTAATTGTTTCAAAACAATAGTCACATTTCACCTATGGCATTTTTTCGTTGTCTAATTCCCACATAATTGTCAAGAACCACTCTAAGCTAAGTAATCCTAGGTTTTTTTTCCCTAGTAATTCTAGGAAATAGTAATCCTATTTCCTTAGTTTCCAACCTAAGGAAACCAATCTAGCTCCCCCTCCTAATAAAAATGAACCCCACGACTGCTGAATAGCTCTTCAAACTCAGCATTCTCTGTCCCCTGGCCAATGCTGATACATTATTTTTTCATAGTTCTTATCTTTAAAATAAAGTACATTCTGTGCTGCATAAGCTGTAACTTCTGAACTCTCTGCCTCTTAACAAGAGCACGCCACCTGGTTAAAGATTTAAGGATTCAAAACCACTTGCTGAAGATGCTCAACATCGCTAATTATTAGAGAAATGCAAATCAAAACTATAAGGTACCACCTCACACCGGTATATATCAGAATAACGATCATCAAAAAGTCCACAAGTAATAAAGGTTGGAGAGGGTGTGGAGAAAAGGGAACCCTCCTACACTGTCAGTGGGAATGTAAATTGGTACAGCCACTATGGAGAACAGTATGGAGGTTCCTCAAAAAACTAAAAATAGAACTACCATATGATCCAGCAATCCCACCCCTGTGCATATATCCAGACAAAACTGTAATTCGAAAAGATACACGAACCCCAGTGTTCATAGCAGTACTAGTTACAATAGCCAAGAGATGGAAACAACCTAAATGTCCATTGACAGATGAATGCATAAAGAAGATTTGAGATATATATATATTATATATATATATAATGGAATACTACTCAGCCATTAAAAAAGATAATGCCATTTGCAGCAACATGGATGCAACTAGAGATCATCATACTAAGTGAAGTAAGTCAGAAAGAGGAATGTACTGAGGATGCCAAGACGTCAGCCTTGGAAAGGTCATATCTAGTATATTTAACCACAAATAATGCTCTTAAACTCTAGGGTATATATTCATGGGTTTATGATTCCCAGTGTGAAGTCACTAAGGGTTCTACAACCTGGACATCCAGTCCCACTGGAGATGTATAAACCTAGGGCTCAGTAAAAAGCTTTGGAAGCACAGAGCTCTGAAAGTGGGTAGCTACTCAAGTTCCTATACAAGACTTTTAGATTAAGATCTGTGATTAGGATATAACAGTTTAACATTTGGCTCCTTTTATTACTTCTTTCCTTTGTATGAGTCAAGGTATTAGACTGTAAAATAAATGCCGTGGTTGTTTTTGCCTTTCTCTCAGCTGTCTTCTTTCCCATAAACTCTTTGAACGCCCTTATTTACCTGTCTCCAACAATTGTAGTGGCTGCCAATTTTTCCAACAAGTGGTTTTACCATCTGTCTTCAGACTCCTTTAATAAGACCTGCTAACATACATCCATATGTCTTCACTGAACCTAGGCCCCCAACCGTTAGCTGCTGTACCTAAAATGTACAAAGGCCTCAAAGGAATCCAAGGAATATGAGGGATAAAGAGACATGAGACTAATTCTCCTGATTAGGTGTAGGCCGACTAGGAAACTGGATACAAATGGTTCCAAATTTTTAAATTATATTTGTAATTATTCTATTTCTTGAGCACTTCCAATATGTGTTCAAATATTACTATAAACTGTTATCTCAAACCAACATCTAGTGGATGATACCACATCAAGAAGACACAAAATTCTTCGTGGTCAACCACGGACGTTGATCTGAATTTGACCACAAAAAGGGAGTAAGTATTTATAATAAGTCCTAGCTCGACTATGGTGTAGATACCAAAGGAAGGACATCAGCAGGAAATATGCAAGGTGAACATACCACCTTCCTACTCCACAGC